CAATTTCCAGTCTATTATCTCTAATCCATTATCTCTCATCAAAGCACTTAATTTCACCATCTCTGCTAATTTCAGTCAATTTCAAAATCCATTCTTCAATAGTCGGCATCTCTTTTTCTTTCCAGTATTTAGCAAATACAATCCTCACAGCCGTCACCATGTGAAGGAATAGTACCCCAAATTGTTTTTCAATTGGCTTTTCCATAAAAGAAAAACCTCAGGTTTTATTAATATTTGTATCTTAAATATTTTTCCATTGTCATTGCTATATTTATCAAGTATGTTTTTATATATTTGCAAGATGACCACATATGATAAAATGAACCTGGATTTTGACTACATTTCCAGTACTTATTAGAAATCCCTTCATACATTTTCGCTAGTCTATCTGGGGACAAGTACCAATCATGTATCATTTTATAAAAGTTTTGTTTGAAACTATAATTTAATGTAAATTTTAGTTCCTTCGTCCATACATCCTCCCATTTATCTAGCATATTATACCCAAAAAAATCTGCCCATTTTACAATATACTCTTTAACATATTCATCTTCTAGATTCATCTTGAATAGCATTTTATATATTTTAGAAATCAAATGGTCATCTCCAGAATATAAATTAACATCTAATTCAGATTTAGTTCCTGTGAAAATTTTTTTTATCAAGTTTAAATCTTTCAAAAATTCTATAATAATTAAACTCACAAGCAAATCCTTCAGTTACTAGTTGTTCTCTTACCTTAAATCCCTCTTTTTCAAATATCAATAAATCTCGATATGTCATCTATTTACATTCCAAAATCATCTCTGTCCTATGTAGCGCTTCATGAGGTGATAGCCAAAGTGACACCTTATCACCTAATCATCTTTTATACTTCCACCATACATGGGCAATCAATTGCCTAATAACATGAATCTGAAAACCAGAATTAACTTTTAGTTTGTCATATCACAGATAGGCATGCCACCCAAATCTCAAATTAAAATCTTCAAAGTTTAACAGCCTTTAATTTTTTTAAGTTATCCAAACTTTTAAACATAACAAACAAGCATCATAATATACTGTAATCTAAGATGTGACAAACTCAGACCGCCTCTATCTTTAGAATCTTGTAGCAGCTTATACTTATTTTTTGGTGGGTGTTTTTTTTTTTTTTTTTTGCAAAATAAATTTAAATATATCTTTCTGCCACTGTTTGAAAGTAGAATTGTTAATCATTATCAGTATAGTATGAAACAGAAATAACATTTTAAGTAGTATATTCATTTTAATTACTGAAATTCTTCAGTAATTAGTGACAAATCTAATTTTTGCCAACTATTTAAATCCAATTTTATCTTCTTCCACATTTTACTGTAATAAAGCTTAGAATTTTCCTTGTAATAGTCACCACCAAGTACTATACCTTTTTCATGACTTCAAAGCCAATTCTAAATTCCAGTTTCTTTTGATCTTCTACCTTTATGTTCTTAGACCGTACTGTTGTCTTTGATTTATTTATTCTTTAACCTCCTATTTCTCCAAACATTTTAATCTTGCTCGTAACATGTTCAATGTTCTCTAGCGGGTCTTGCACAATTAATACCAAATTGTCAGCAAATGCATAATTATGCACTTTTATTTGTGGACCTTTTGCTCTGTTATCTGATCTAATATCTCTATTTCACCACTAGAATAAATAATAAAGAAGATAAAGCACATCCCTCTCTTGTTCCCTTCTGGATTTCAACTGGTTTTGTAAAGTCTCCATTCAGGTCATAGACAGCTGATGCAAAACAAGCAGGCCCATTCATAGAAGCAGATATTTAGGGAGGGATTTTGGTTTTCGCTAATATATTAGGTCTATTTTAGGATTAGGTCTACAGTTATCATGCATTTCCTCCCACAAAATGGAAGGAATATACTGACAGTTTTCAGGGGTTGTAGTAGAAGAAGGCTCCAGAAAAGTATTGAGGCCTCATTCAGACCTCAGATCTCAGGCGTCTTGTGAACAAGTGATGCTGCTGTTGTAAAGCCTACTGATGCCTTCTATTCATGCAGTCAAGAGGACTTGGTCTCACATTCCAAGAAATCTGACAAAGTTGCACGAAGCAAAGAATGGATTTTTAGAAACGCTGTTCTATTTTTAAATACTCCATCCTTAGATAATACAAAATGAAATTGGCTTATTTAAACAGTTGGGTTTTTTCTCATTTCTGTGGAGGAGAATAACTGGGGAACTCATTTCTGAACCTCATGCTGCCTTCTTTTTTAGGTATATACTATTACACCATTTAATACAGTCTCCAACCCTTTTTGGTCAGCAATGTTATGAGGGTTTTATAAAATGGCTACCATAGTGTGCATGGCCACTAAAATAAATACACTGATTTAACCGAAGGTGAAAAGGATGAGATTGCTCCACATTCTCCTAACTTTGTAGGATGCTGTTTACCTCCTCAAAGTAAATGTTTCAGGTACTATTATAGTATAGTATTTAGTTAAAAGAATATAAAAATAAAATCAGTTGAAACCTGAAGCTCAGTAGGCATCATCGGGGAACCAAGAAAGTCCAAATGATGGTTACAGCTCTATGATTAAAGCCACTATCTTGACTTTTATTATAACTCCCCATTAATAACCACAGACAATATTTTGGAAAATCTGGGTTTACTTTAACAAGCCAGAATGTAATCACTAATAAAGTATAAAAACCATAGAAGCCTCCAGGCAGTAATTCTTAATATGAGGATAAATTAATTTACTCTGAGAATGAATTTGAATTAATTCAGAGTTTCTTTTGGCTATATATTGAACAAAACTATTAAACAAGTATCCATTTTTATTTGTTTTGCATGAAGAGTAATTGTCATCTTATATTGTTGTTATCATACTATGCTAATTGTTAGTATTAGTATTACTTTTACTAAGTGGTATCCAGCCAAGTTTTACTAATTTGATAAATAGTTCATTCTACATTCAACTGAATGTAATCTTTGGGACAATTTCAGTCTTGTTCAATGGAAACAATACTGTGCTATCATCTTAATGTCACTAAAAAATCTTAGTTTTTCTGTGGTTTTAATTTTCTTTTAATCCTATTAGCTTATTTTATTAAGCTTGGGAAAAGTTCATCATTTCCTTTTGTTCAAATTTCAGAATCAAAGCAATGAATATTTCAAATATCCTTTTATCCTGACTGTTCTGTGCAAGAAAAACAAGAACATAATATGTACTTTTGTTCCAGATACCAAGAACGTAAATGCAGTATAACTTGCTATATCAAAATCAAATGATTGAAGAATGGAAAATCCTGTAGAGACCACTTCTAGGGATTACACACAAGTTTGGCAAGCATCAAGCCAGAGGCAAAGTCCATTATGAGACAAGCCAATCTGTAATCCCAATTAATGCCCTCTCTAGCGTGCTTGCTGCTATATGGCTGCTATTATTATTTCTGCTTTCTTTTGTTCAGTAGTCTTACATAAAACAGACATTCACAAAAATCCCTATTTAGCTGCATAAAAGTAAAATTATCTGAGCACATGAAGTAGATAGGCATCTAATGAAAAATATATTGATTTCTTATTATAATATATGAAATATTTTAAGCTAAAGATAAGATTTATTTTAGGAATGCCATTTTTTTCCATTCCAGAATGAATCTATTGGTTCATATTGCCAAACTGTCAAGTTAGTATGTCCCCACGAGCATCCATTAAATAACTGCCTTGGGGAGGGACAGAGAAATTTGAGATATGCCATCAAAGGTTAAGTAATAAAGGAACAAACGAGAACAAAACCATTGAGATGTCCTGAGAATTCAACTGAACTATAAATTAAAACAATGCATCAATAATTTAAAAGACCCCCAAAGTGTACTTACCACCAATAATGGCCTGTTTTGTGTCTTTCTCACCAATATAACATTTTAGTTATGATGAAAAGTTTTTAAGAGCTACTTGCCCTTACTATATCTTGAAAATGGAATAAAGCTATCAGAATCAATTGGATAATTATTTTACACAAAAATTATTCTTCCTATAGCTTAAATATATTAAATGCAATAAATAATTATTTCATTTAACAATTATGGTTTTTATTTTTATTTAGCAATGAATTGGAATTAAAATTAATAATATATATTTATTTTTCCCATTCTTCAAAGCTAAGTTAAAAGCAATAACGCCTTTCTAGGTATTAGCTAGAATACATAACATTAACGATAGTATTGAATTATCCACATTCTAATAGTATATGATATGGGTGGGATTGGGAGCAGGCAATCTTTGCAATTTATTCATCACTTTAGAAAGAATTGTGGGTGGCAAACCCACTCATTCTAATCCTGAATGAGTACAGAATTTAGTTTGACTTCATTAAATACATCAAGAAGAATACACCAGTATAATAATGTCAAAGTATACTGTATTCACATAAATGCTTAGCATCAGGTGATGGAACTGGGCACATTAACAACCTTTTTAGTCTGGACTTGCATGGAAAGTAAAGGGATCCGAGAAAGAGGAATAAAACACTTTTTTAACCACTGTTCCATTGTATCTAGGCTGTGCATTAATTTGATTAGCACTGCAACTGTCAAATACACAGTATCTCTACTGGAAGAATGACCTTTTAATTTCCATACACATGGCTCCTATTAGCACTAATTGAGTGGAAGCATTGTAACCTACTGAGAATAGATCTGAGGGCTACAGATGCATGTTTTGTTTAAAGTGAACATACTCTTTAATATTACAAACCCACTTAGTTAAAGCTCCTGATTAGAAATATAGATTTCTTTGTAATAAAGATTACTTTATTTCTGCAGATTTCACCATGCTTGATTTCTGTTTAAAGGCTAATATTTTAATAGTCTACATTAATATAGTAATGTTAATATTTGCCGGCAACAATATCTGCATAGAAATGGATATTTTGCTTTCTTTCAATCCATGAACCATCTTATTTAACTGAAGGTTAGTATCTATGATGACTTATTGTTATTTTTTTATAAACAGCTGAAAACAGAAAGATCTTGAATGAACAAGAAGTTGAAAAATGTCTTATCACTCTTTTGGGAACGGATAACGAAGGAACCAAAATAGCTGCTTCTCAAGCCATCTCTGCTATGTGTGAGAATTTAGCTAGTAAACAAACCACTGGAGCTTTAGGTAAATAGTTATGGTAACAATGGAATTATGATCCAAAAGAAAATATTTACCAATTTACAAGATTTCCATAGTTAATTTAAAACTGCCTACAATTCTCCTCTCTTAGGAATTCCCCAGCTTGTTCAGTTGCTAAGCAGCGAAAATGAAGAGGTAAAGGAAGCTGCTGCTACGGCTCTGGTTAATCTAACAACGGCCCATCCTGCCAATGTAAGGTAAGCTCAAGATGAATAGAGGATGGTTAGACACTTTAATCAGGAAATATATTTTTCTATTTTTCTAGTTTCTACAATTGTTAGGAAATTTGGCACAGTGCTTTGTTACCTTTATTTCACATCACATGTCATCTCTGCACCATTTAACTAAGCATGATTGCATGCTTGGTTTTTTATTATTATTAGCGTGTTAATAAAATATAATTAATTGGTATTAGGATTTTAGTTAGTGTCTGGGTGTGCTTTTCTCATGAAAATTTTCATATTTGGAAAGTTTGAAAAGCTAAGCACAAAAATAAAAAAGGGATTCCCTAGAAATGTTTACATTTTGTTAAAGATGGGTTACTTTGGAATCTCCCTATTCTATAACATCCATGAATATATATAGATATTGTTTGAAAGCTAACCAAAATTTTAATGTCAACAATCTAATTCAATAGAGTTTAGATTCATCAAAGGGCATTAAAGAGCATGCGGTTAAGAATATTTGATAAATAGAAATGGATCCACCTTGCTGAAAACAAAATATCTATAATACTTGCCCAAGGAAAAAAATGTTATTAATATCTTCTATCATCAAGGAAATTTGGCTGTAGTTCAGATATTTATTAAATAGACTGAATGTTATTAAGTACCTATAAGTGTTGTATATGCTGAATATACTTCTGTAAATTTATCTTTGTAAAATGCACTTTAAAAATTAGATTCAATCCTAGCTTAGTTGTTTTTCAAAAATTTGGAGCTTCTCTAATTACACTGTGTGACCTATTTCACTATTCGATATGAAATGAAAATTAGGGAAATTTTAAGATTCTTTTGGTTGATTAAATGTAAACAGAATTTTTGATTGCAATTGGACAATGTTATAAGAAAACATATAACTGTAGATTGGACAATCAGCATTTATGTCTGGTATTTCTGTTAGATACATTGCTTTATCTTGCTGTAATTGTCATATATTTGTGGGCTCAAGCAGGAAACATAATGAAAACAAGTCAGCATGTGGATTCACATATGCAGATATGAAGATATTTTTCTCTTCAATTTACAATATTTCCTTCCATATTAAATTTGGAAAAGCTGTTTTCACTCGATAAGGAAACCAACTGTAACTTAAAATAAACACAGTCAAATGAGCAAGTAATCAAACTTTTAAGGGATATAAGATAGTCAAATTTGCAAAAGGCTTCTTAGACTTTGACAAATGGTAAATAAAACTGAAAAGCCTACTGGCTCATATAGCCTTAATGTATTCAGTACATTTTATGTCACAAATTATTCACTCAATTTTAATAGCCACTGACATTAATTTAACATCACTAGTTGAAATATTATTCATTTTGTGTAGACATTGTCTACTCATCCATTCTCTGGAAAAATGAAATAGATATTTTCTGATAATCCTTCCTTATAATTCAGTTGTTACCAGCTTTTCAACCAGCCGTATGCCTCTAGGGCCCAGCCTTTCTAGAATTGCTCTCCTTACAGTTAGAAATTATTGTAAACTTGATTGATACAACCTATTGATTTACCTATGAAAGCTATTCTCTAGACTGTGAATCCACATAGTTTCTTTTTTTTTTGTAATCTCATTTGAGAAAGGAATAAATTTGATGCATAGCTCCAGTGATTGCTAATTACTAAAATATTTTTATATAGTAATTTTATTAAAGATTAGAATTACAACAGTAAAGAAATAAAATTATAAAAAGAAAGAGTAGAAGGTGCAGAAAAGAAAGAAAAAAGGAAAAAATAAAATAAATATAGTAAAAGAAAAGAAATAGAAAAGTAACTAACCCTAACTCTACATTGCAAGCATAAATAATTTAGTAGGTTAACACCTTCTCTTAAATAACAATATTTTCATATCCTACTTTTATTGATAAATCATAAAACAATCCTAATCTCAGCACTCTGATCAAATAAGATAGCATTATACTCCTTCCTTTTATTTCTAACATCCTTATCTTTAGTCCCTTCAAATAATAATCTAGAACTTGATTTTTTCATATTTTCTTTGTCTCTTCTCACAAAACTATTCAAAACTTTTACAAACCTCTTTTGTAAATCCAATGTATAATATTGTCTTAGTTTGCTGATTGTATATACCTTTTAATGATTAAAATATTAGCCCATTTCTTTTGTATGTCCAATGAATCATCTTTTTCCACATCATTCTTGTAACCTGTCATTTTAAAATCTACTTTTAGATCAGTTTCAATCCTGTCAGATAAAATATATTCTTCTTGACACCTTTTAAACACAATCTACCTATTAATAGAGGACCCTTAAAATTAATTTCTGGGTCAGTATTCAAAAATGTCCTTTAATATATTAAAATATTTTGCTTCATTCTCTAACTAAAAATCAAATTTGAGTATTCTCCTTAATTGTAATCTTTAGTTTCCTCTACTGTCCAATTTTTGAAATCTTATATTTTCCTCCAGAAAATTCAAATGGGAAGGATTCTTTATAATTAATTTCAAAATCTTATTTCAAGTTTATCTGGACCATTAGTTGTTTATAACTTTCTAAAATCAAAGTGTTAATCTATCTTTTGACAAAAAAAAAATCTTAAACCTGTAGTTAAACTTTATTACACTAAGGATTGAAGAAAATTCAACTAGCCCTATAAAACTTTCAATCCAATGACTTGTACAGCTGTAGGACAGTTGGCAAAGCAATTTCCAAAAATTATTACAAAAGGAACTATACTTACTCTTCTTTCACAGACATTGATGTGTTTTGAGCAAGATACCATATTTTTCAGACTATAAGACGCACGAGTGTATAAGACCAAGATTTCAAAGAGGTAAGTAAGAAAAAAAAGTTTTGTCCTCCCTGGCCCCTTGGAGCTCTCTGCAGGCTTCAGCAGGGCTGGAGGAAGGCAAAAACAATCCCGTTTCGGTGAAAAATGGCCCATTTTTTGCCCATTTTTCACAAAAATGGGATGCGGGAGCAGAGCTTCAGGAGGCCAAAAATGGCTGTATTTGGTGTATAAGATGCATCAACATTTATTTCCATGCTCTTGGGGGGGGTGCGTCTTATACTCCGAAAAATATGATAGTTATTTCTTCTAACCAGTTGGAGATTGCTAGCGTTTTGTGAGGAGTAGCTGTTTGGAACACTTGTTTATAATCTCAAATCCTCTCCTTGTCTGGAAAGGAGTTATCAAAAGTTTAGTCTACTTGATGGGCCTCCATTCATTCATCCGCAGTCATCTGCTCTGCTTTTTACATTTGTCATTTCTTCCTTGAAAATCGCTAATTACTAGAATCTTGATTGTTGGATTGGGTAATGGATAGGCACACACAGTCTTAACAGTAACAACAGCTCTTTATTGAATACAACAAGTGAGAACAATCCAGCAAAGGTTGAGTCTGACAGCAGCCCTTTTATAGGGAACTGTCAGACCCTTCGACCAATAGGATTAAAGCTCTGTTCCCACCAGAACAGAAGACCTTGGTGGAAACTACTGTAGATAGGGTGAATATCTAACATTGATGTCAGGAATATTTCATCATTTTAAATCTAGAACGTTCTACATGTATATGCTCTATGATATAAAAGGGTCTAAAATTGTGGTAAAGCCATTTTTCTTTCTATATCTAGCATAATTTCTATTTGCAAATTTTTAATTCTTGCTCTACCACAGAGGCAAAAGCAAGTTAATGTGATTAGCTTTTTTAATTTGTCAGCTAACATGCTGACAGTAATTTTACCCAAACTCCAGAGACCAGAATTATTTTATGATTATTTAGTGCATTAAATGTAAAATGATTCATTTTTTGTTTGGAAATGTGTTGCTAAGTGTAAGAATGAGAAAGTGTTATAAAAGCACTCCAAATCAATCAATCAATCAATCCAATTCTTTACTTTAAAAATTAAGTTTTCTAAATTGCACTTAGCTTTTCTAACAGGTGCTGTTATAAACCTTTTTATATAGTTTTTGTGGCAGCAGAATGGAAGTGATTTGCCACTGCTGTTTTTTGATTTCTTCTTTGGCTTCCCAGAATAGAATAAAGACCTGAAATTCCCTAATGGCCTTCTTCAAGCACTAACCAGGCCCAATCTTGCTTAGTAGCAACATATTACCCAGTTAAATAAAATGTAATTTCCTTATTAATCTTATTTATAAATCCTAAATGATTGAACCTAATAATATGTTTACATGCACTAAATATTATAAATTAGCATCAATTGATCTAAACCTGTATCCAGGTATATGTGTGTGTGTGTGTGTGTGTGTGTGTGTGTGTGTGTGTTTGTATGTTTGTGTATCACACACAGACACACTATACACACTACACAACACACACACACACACACACACACACACCACACCACACCACACCAGCCAGTTTCTATTTCCGAAGTGGAAGACAGATTTTCTTAAAGGTAGGGAGATAAACATGAGCTCAGCTGTTAGGCACCATGCATTCCAGTTTCATTGGCAATTCCTGTGACATGTTCAACAATCCTGATAGAGGTAGGAGAATGGGAGGAATCAAAGTTAATTCAATGTCTTGTTCATTGTATTCTATAAAGTATTTATTATCAATTCCATCCAAACATTCTGGGTAACTCACAAAGTCAAAGCAGCCAATAAAATAAAGTAAGAGAAATAAAAACAGCAGTCTGTCAGACCAGCTAAAAAGTAAAACAAATAAGCCAACTTAAAACCAGATGTAAATTAATAAAAATAGGAATAAAAATAAACATACCAAAGATGATAGTAGCCCAGCAAATGTTATTTTCAATGTATTAGCTGCTTTTCTGAATGCTAGCCAAGAGAGAGCCAGTGATAGGCCATTTCCTATCAATCAAATAGGAAATAATCAAAATCATATGTGGTGTTCAAAGTAGGTTCTGATCAGTGATTAAGTGTGCACAATATTCCCTTCATGGCTTGGTATCTAATTTATAGTTTTACTGCCATCTATTGGCCATTGTACAGTTTCCTTCTGAAAACATGTTTGAGATAATTGATCTATTCATTC